GCATCAAACTCATTGAGAAAGCCAGAAATGGCAGGCAGTTTCTGAGGACAGAATTCTAAAGAAAGACTGGCCCATTCCAAGCAGATTTGCAAGAGAGATGTTATTTTGACTGGAGGGGTGATCGACCCACATGATGCACTTAATGGGGTGTGACTGGGGTGCAAGTGTCATTATATTCCCTTCTGCTTATGTAGCTATCAATGAACTGAAAGCTACTGGCTTTTAAAAATTCATAGTTGACCTTTTCTGAAACTGGAATTTAAAAAAAAGGTTATCTGTAAACAGTAGATCATAAACTCAAAAATTTTCAAGTTAATCAAATTAAAATTCAACACATGAGTTTTAATTAGGTCTTATCAATGTAACTCAGGAGTTTGAAATGTTAACACATTAAAGCCATTCTAGCTAAGGGAAAGAAATAGATGGCTGCCTACACTAAAGTCAAATCCAATATGAGATCATACAATTGTTCATTCCTTCAAGTTAAGGCAACAAGAGAAAAGTTATTTTCATTGCCAAGGGGAAGAGAGATAAATCAGCTTTTCTCAGTGATCACCAGAGGCAGGCTGAGAATTTTGGCTGCTTCTATCTACATTAGCCAAGCATTGCTATCCTGGTTGTTCATCTGGCTGATTTGGGAGCCAAACTGAGTCCCACAGGGACTCGGGACTTTTAGCTGAGGTTCACAGTTTTGCTCTGAATAGTCAAATCTCTTATTCCTGTGATTAATATAATAAACTCTACTATTAACATAAGTGTTAGTTATCAGTACAAAATGGCAACCATCCAAATCTTCAATCTAAATTTCCAGGCACATGTAATTATTTCCCTAAAGTCCACCTTTGAAGTTCATAGGTCCTGAACTGACAACAGTTGCTTTCTTTAGCACAGAACAGTTTAACATTAGTTCTTCAAGTCTAAGAAAATATATCAAATGGGCATTCTGTTGCATAGAACTGTCCTCTGACTGCCAAGATAGACTGGCAAGCTATAGATAGAAGCTTCCTTCCCAAGCTTGGTTGCATATGCTTGCCTAGGATTATAAACCTGACGGTGGACCTTCTGCAGAAAGGGCGGGGCAGGGAGAATCAGCCACCCTTCCAAATCCAGTCTGCCCTAACTGTATGGGGGGAGGGGCTAAGGGTATATTAATGAAAAGTCTTGTGCCCTCACCATTTTGGACGGCTGCTGGAAAGTTGATCCACGCTGGGATGGGGGTGTCACCCACACTTCTGTAAGGACCCTCTCACCATTGTTCTGTGTGGAAGCCCAATAAACTCTTTAGCTCCCCAAACTGTAGTTTGGAGAAATTATACCTCGTTTTGTCATAAGGACAATGGGAGGAAGGGGCCAGATGGACATTTGCACCTCCCAGAAGGAATTTTAGCAACACATTCTATGTGCCATTTCTCCTCATTTGGCTTTAAAGAAGAGTAATAAATATAAATAGTCAAAGAATTGAGTTCTTTGGTTTTCTCCAGTCTTAGTGTGTGAACTGGAGAAGTAAGGTTCTGCTTATGGAGGCACAAATTCCCATGATGGCCTGACTGATCCAGCTTTTTGTTAAGTCATCTGGCTGACCTCCAATGAATGAACACCTCAAGCTACCAGAAACATCATCCTCATCATCAGTATGGCAATATGTATAGCTATGTGACAAACTCTGTGACATACCTTCTAATGTCATTGGGGTAGAAAGCTATGTATCTGACTTTGTCAGACTATGTATCAACTTTAGTTTTAATTGACAGCATGTCACAATTTAGAATCACCTGAAACAAGAGTCTCACCAAGGGACTGATTGTCTAAATCAAGTTGGTCAGTGGGTGTGTCTGTGGGGATTGTCTTGATTGATAGGACAAGACCCAATCTGAAAATGGGCAGCCCTATTCCCTAGTTTGGGGCCTTCAATTGTTTAAGAAAAAAGAAAGATAGTGCACATGTATGCATACATGCATTTATTCTCACTTTGCTTTTCATTGGGGATGTGAGTAGTTTCTTCAGGTTCCTGCCTTTATTTTCCCACAGTGGTGGACTGGAATGTTTACCTAGAAGAAACCCTTTCTCCCCAAAGTTTCTTTTTTCAGGATATTTTATCACAGCAACAGAAATGAAACTAGGACAGGAGGTATCAGCAGGGGAGTTTGAACACACATGGGCACTACCCCATTGGAGAAGAGGTACTGAAAGATTAAGATCCTGTCAAAGTTACACAGATTTACCAAATCCATATTTAAAAACCAGGCCTGCACAATTGCAAGAAATATATTCTAGAACTAAGGTTAAGAGCTGGAGAGTTAACTTAAACTATGTCAATCTATAACGAAACAGTCTATGTCAAGATAACTTCAGTGCATTATCAGCTTTCCAGTATCCATTCTCATTTCTCTTCCCACCTCCCTTCAAAATGAAAGAAGAGAGAACTGGGAGATGGATCAGTGGTTAAGAGTGCTTACTACACAAGCATGATGACCTGAGTTTGGAGCTCCAGCACCCATGTAAAAAGCCAGGCAGGGTGGCACATCTGTCAGAAATGCAGAAAAACAGTAGACAGAGTCATATAAAGGAAATAAGACATTCTCTAATTCTAGAATTTGAGATTAATGGTGGGGAGGGTTCTGAAAGTTTATTATCAATATTTTACATTAATTTATCATTTTCAGAGAGGAAGATTTCTCTGAATAAGAACATGAAATAAGGCCATTAGCAGGAAAGACTGGGAGTAAATAACACCTTTGTCAAACACAAAGTTGACTTCTTCCACAGTTTTGAGTGGTTTACCACATATTGGTGGTCAAAACCTCTACCATATATCACACTGGTGATTTGATGCACCATCTTATTTCCAATGTAACAGCCATAATTCTGTCTCATAATTGTATGTATTTGGCCATATTTAATCACAGGCTAAAGAAGCCTGGCTGAGGAAGCAAAGCTGTCAGCTCCAAGTGAATCACATGAAATGGACCTCCAAGACAAATAAGCAAGTACTGGGCAGAACAACTTTGTTCTTACTCTTTTAGGTCCTAGTAATATTTCATTTGGAAAAAAAATGACAATAGAGTTTAGAAGGGATCAAGATGAACCAGTTCAATTTTGTTTTCACCCATCATCACTGACCTGATACCTAATGTAAAAAGGATGTGTGAAAAAGAAGTTATTTCAACTCTATTAGAGGTGGATTATCTGAGACATCATCACAAGACAGTGATTACAAAGCAAGAAAGTGCTTGTGTAATATGTCCTGTCCTTTGAGGAAACACCCAGTGTAACCAGGACTACAGTTAATGAAATTAACTTTGGATTGATTAATGGTTGGATAAATTACTCAAACTTGTCCTTTGCCATTGACATAAAAATGTAGTGTTTACTTAATTTTAAAGATGAATTGGTTTGATAAATCAGTTTGGTGCTATGCCAACAGCCTCAAAAGATTCTTGCTTAATGACTTTCCCAATTTTGTAGATTTTAGGGAAGACTGAAGAGATTGTGGGGAATTTTTAACGGAGTTTCTATGCCTCCTTGCACTTTACTCTCATGATCCTGTGGTCAGAAGGGACTTTCCCTTCTAATAAATGGTAATAATCAGAGACCATCTTTCCTGAACACTTACTATATGCAATATGTTATCCCTATTATTTTGTAAAGATTAAGTAACCTTCATGAGAATGATGTCAAGTAAGTCTACTGTTCACATAGATTATGTATCTGAAAAATCAGGACATTCAAGTGATACAAAGCTCTGAACATGGTGATACCTCTAGCTTTTACAGGTTAAAAAACTTATTTGAAAACCCTCCAGTCAATTAGGGATAGAATCCAAGGAAGCATTCTACCACTGAACAGCAGCCTCTGTTCTTGGCTTATTCACATAGGGCCTCAATATATACAACAGGCTGGCTAGGAATTCACAGTCATACTGGTTTCAGTGTCTGCACCAATTTGTATTTGTCCTTGCAGTGTGTAAGGGTTCCTTTCCCCCTCACATTCTTGTCAGCATCTATCATTTTGTTACTATTATTATTACTGCTGATAGCCATTCTAACTTCCATTTTTCTGATGGATAAAAAACTTGGCTATTTTTCATTGGCCATTTGTACTTCATATTTTGAGAACTTTCTATTCTTCTTGTGTTTTCTCAAGTAAAATTTAACAGAATTAGAACATCTAATTTTCAGTTATACAAAATGTGACTGTTTTTGCTATATGACAACTGAATCCTTATGATGAGGGCTATGTCATGGTCTGACACAATCCTTAGGTGTCTGCCACCTGTGTAAATTTTTATTTACCCTGCATAAAATGTAGCTGACCTTACTGGTTATACAATACATATCTGGGATGTGTATTGTACTACATATTATGTTAGTGGACCATATCACAGAATGATAAACTGTTAGAGCTGATACTTTCCATTTCTTGATATTCACATATATTTCTGTAACTTCTCTTCTAACACTTGGCAGAACTATTGGCCCTGGCAACAGGTAGGTATTAGGAGGAAAAAAGTTTTCCCACTTACCTAGTAACTTCAAAGCAGTGTGGTCTTAAATATCATAGAATCTACCCTCTAGGCTAGGAGGCAATAGTCCAGTGCAGGGCAGTACTCTAATTCTCCATTTAACTTTGCCTTTGGTGGTGTTCATAAGCTTAGAGACTTTCCTTAGGATAATGGCAACTACAATGCAAAATTTAAATATTACAGTGCTCCCTGACTATGTAGTCATGATCTCCAAGCCAAATACAGTTCACTATTGGAGTTTGCTTTGATGCAGCTGCTATGTTCAAGGGATAGGGACTGAGGAGGGGTAAACGGAAGCAAGAGCAATGGTGGTTCTGCCCACTCTGCAGTTTGTGTTGCCTCAAACAACCTCCAAGAAAATCCAGATTTCTAAGCCATGGATTTCTGGATTTCCACAACCTAGAATTCAGAAATTCATCCAGCTATTTGTCTGAACTTTCCCCTATGCAGTAAACCAAAATCCCGACTGTCTACTCACCCGTGCACTCTGTCCTGCAATGAGCTGGTCATCTTCAGTCTGAACACTTGTCCGACTGCGCACATCATAATCTTCCTGTTCAAAGTCAGAATCATCCTCCAATTCTTCTGGGGTCTAAATAACAACAGAAAAATCAAAATACTTTTAAAAACTGAACTGATACTCTTCACTCTTAGCCCTACATTTCATTACAAAGTCTAGGGGCTGGGCGTGGTGGTGCACACCTTTAATCCCAGCACTGGGGAGGCAGAGGCAGGCGGATCTCTGTGAGTTCAAGGCCAGCCTGGTCTACATAGTGAGTTCCAGGACAGCTGAGTCTACAGGGAGACCCTGTCTCAAAAAGACAAAAAAAA